TGATGCATGCTATGGACCATGAGACTATATAATGGAGGAACCTAACTCTGTCTTCAAAAACAGGTCAAGAGGCATCAGAATAGGTTGTGGGGAGCTAATTAATGTTTGGGCTAAAATATCAGGAGTAAATGAATATAGGAAAGTATAAACTGAAAATACAATAATAATAATAGGAAAAGAGGGGTAACAATCCAAAGCTTAAAGATCTGAGGAGGCTGGGCTGGGAAGGTGGCTCAGTGGTAGAGCGCTTGCCTTGCATGCTCGAGGCCCTGGGTTCGATTCCTCAGCACCACATAAGCAAAAAGAAAAAAGCCGGAAGTGGCGCTGTGGCTCAAGTGGTAGAGCGCTAGCCTTGAGCTGAAGAGCTGAGGGACAGCGCTCAGGCCCAGAGTTCAAGGCCCACGACTGGACCAAAAAAAAAAAAAAAAAAAGATCTGAGGAGGCCTTAGCCCATGTGGGTTCCGAAAGGATTATCTAAACATTTGGACACTATCCTATTCCTATTGAAGAGTACTGAATGAGAGATGGCAGATGGTAAAGATTTTTTTATTTTTATTTGTTAAGACCAGGTCTTGTTATGCAGCCTGACTGAGCTGTCCAAGCTGCACCTGCTCCCAACACCTTGTTGATGCAGTATAAAGAATGGATTAAAGGTCTTTTGAATTGAAATCCTTTGTACAACTACTTAAAAATAAGTTCTTAAAATGATTTAAAATTTTTAAATAGAATGAATTAGAAAGGGCACAAGTGGATGAGGGGGGAAGGCCAGTTCAAAGGCTTTTATACCACCCTAGATGAGAGAGGGTTGGGATGAGGAGGTGGCAGTTGAGAGGTATGAGGGAGATAAGGGGGTAAAAGACCCTACTTAGGGCTTTATGACGATAGGTTAAGGATAACACCAAAGTGAAGGATCACAAAAGTGAGTCTATCTCACTATGGACATACAGAAACACACTAACTTCCCTAAATTCTACTCACCACATGTTCTTTCTTCTACATACCCCAGACTCCATTATTCTCAAATATCTGAATTATGCAAGACTCTTTTTGGCCTAAACCCCATTTTGTCCCTCACACCTACCCTAGTCACCCTCAGCTACATAAGTATTCCTAAATGTTTTGTCCCAGGGGGGCCTCTTGAGAAACCACAAAAGGATTCAAAATATAAAAGATTTTTTTTTCTCTTTGGCTGTTATAGGTGAATAACGCAAAATTTTAGGGTTTGATTTTTTTTTTTTGCGGTAACCAACTGAGTTATAAAGAGGTACAAAAATTTGTTAGTCATAAACTAAAATTAGCTTTTATCTGGAGCTCACAGAAGACTCTAATTCAGTTTTTTACTAAGAAGTCTGGCTGCCAGGCAATGTTTGGCAATGCTGCAAAAGTCCTCTTGCACATGTACGCATACAGCCAGTTGGCATTCCTGCAATTTTCAGGAAGGACACCTTGTTATTGCATGCCCAGTGATGTTTTGAGCTGGTCATGGTTTATAGTGCCTGACATTCATGCATTTTAATTACAAATTATGATTCATGGAGCTCCATCATGATGAAATGAATATGCCATGGATTATTCTATTAACTGTATAGGGTAGAAGGATATACCTCTCTGGCCTTAAGTCCTGACACTTTCCAATTCCCTTCCTTACTGATCTAGAGCATGTGCAGAAGGATCGCATCTCAGGAACTTTACACTTGCTATACCATCTCTCTAGAATGCTCCCCATCCCTATCCTAGAAATCACATACTTCTTTCATTTCTTTCAGGTCTTTATTCAAATGTCTCTGTGAGGACTTCTCTGATCATCCTATTTAAATTATTATTCCACTTCCCTGAACTTCCTACTCTACTTCTTTGATTTATTTTTCCTCCTTGCCATCTACCACCATCTGATGTGCTACATATATTTTTCCTATTTATGTATTTATAGATTACTTCCACCTTTCATTTTACACTATTTAATATTCTATTGTGTCTCCTAGGTGTTTAGTTTTACAAAATTGGGATGATACTCTACAGAGTGCTTTTTGAAAATTAATTATTGCCAAAGTAATTCCTTCCCTCTAGAAGATAGTGCTGATGTGTGCAAGGCCCATTGACACAGCTTTCTCTCTTCCCTATCTGCTGTCTCTTCTCTATTCTTAATGTCACTAGTCTTTGGTAGCTCCCCTAATGGAGAAACTCATTCTCAAACTTGTTCAAACCTCAAATTGTTAGAAAAGATTAATCTGTGGTAAGAAAGATCAAATTACTGGTTACCTGGGGTATGTAGGGGTGGGGGGGACCGGGGGAACTTACTGGGCTAAGAAACAGGAAACTTCTTGGAATAGAGGATATATTCTATATTTCTATTGTGGCAGTGGTACAAAGTGTATAACTTTGTCAAAACTTGAAACATATCGGATTGAAACAGTTCATTTTATTACATTTAACCAGACTTTTTATTGTTAGGTTAAAGCAAAATGCCTATAAATTAAGGGTTCAGCAGTATAGTTCAAGAGCTTCAAATCAGCTCAACTTCAACATAAAACTAAGACATGGTCATATAGGAATAAGCCATCTCTCCCATAACTGCAGAGATATAAGAAAGAAAGTTTATCTGCTGCAGAAGGCCAGGTAAAAGAAGCAGAGAAGCCAGGGTTAATATTCAGGAATTCATAGCAAAATATGTAAAGTCATAAATAGTATGGACAAAGCCTCAATGTATCTATGTATCTATGCTTGAATATAGTAAATTTAGAATAAAAGTCCTGCTAGAACTTTAAGCCCCAAAATATTTAGAAAAGCTATTTCTCCTCCTCTTCCTCCTCCTCTTTCTCCTCCTCCTCCTCCTCCTTCTCCTCGTCCTTGTCCTCCTTCTCCCCTTCCTCCTTCTCCATCTGCTCCTTTTCTTCCTCCTCATTTGAACTCTGGAGGACTTCCTGCTTGCTAGATTGGTCCTACACACTCTCCACTTTGAGCTACATCGCCATCTTTATTTTTTACTGTTTTTTTTTTTTTTTTAACATAGTCTCTTGCTCACTGCATAGGTAAGCACCTGCACTACAAATTGCTTACTTTAGGTTTCCTAGGGTGTTGCTGGATCACAGGCATACACTATTGAATTTAGCTTCTATCTGGGGAGATGGAGACTTGCAGACTTTTCTGCCAGGCCTGACCTGGAAAGCAATCCTCCCAATCTCAGCCTCCACATGGCTTGTGATGAAAAGCATGAACCACTGTGCCTAGCAATGGGATGGGATGGGGATGGGATGGGGTTTCTGGAAGTTTTCTGCCTGAGCTGGCTCCAAGTCTCTAACCTCTGGATTTTCAGGCATGAATCACCACTGCCTGGCTAAAAAGTCTGAAGGATGAAATCAGTCCTTTATACCACAGAGGGCTCTGTGAGCAGCTGTGACTGTCATAGCTTCCATGATGATACTAGGGAGAAAAGTGGAACTTTGCTTGGTCAGATAAGAAGGGATGAATCTTAGATTTCCCGTGAGAAGAGATGGTGGTCGGGTGGCTACCATCAAACAAACATTATGTTCACGTAGTTGCAAGAGTCACAGAAGTGGATCAGAGGTTCACAGAGAAGAGAAATGTGTGTGAAGAACAAGGGCCAAAAAAACAAGCATTTTTCCTCCTCTTTCTTTATGCTTGACCTCACAAGTCTCTCAGCACGGAAAAAGCTAAACCAAACTTGTGAACCCAATCTGTTGTATCTCCTGTACAGTTCTTTAATATCTCTGCTGTAGAATCCCAAAAAGCAAAGTCTGTGTTTCCACCTAGCCCAGCACTGGGACATAGCAGAAGGATGGGCAAATGATTCCTTTGGGGTAAATATATATATATATATATATAGAGAGAGAGAGAGAGAGAGAGAGTGTAAGAAGGGATTGGTGGGGAGTGGGGGTAGGAAGGTTAAGGAAGATGGACTGGTCAGTATGGGTCTGTGGAGTGAGAGATGGGAATGATGAGAGAAAGAATGGGAATGATGAAGGATAGACAGGTTTTAAAAAGGGAACAAAACAAAACAGGAAAGTATGGGAGAGGAGGGCAGAATTAATGAGAGAGCAGAACAGAAGCTGAGGTGACAGGGAGTCACAAGGGAAAGAAGTTAGGGGTCAACAAGGAAAAAAAGACCAAGGATCAGTGAGAAAGGAATGATCAGTGGTGAAGGTCAGAGGTCATCAGAAGAGAGCAAGTCAGAGTATGAGTTACCTGCTTACGCGTCTGCTTCGTGGGCATTTTCCGCAAAAGCAAGAAGCATCCCAAACCTTGGAATGGTTCGGAACGCTCCTTCGCCTGAGGATAAGAAGTGTGTGGACCACGTACAGGAAATCGACTTCAATTCCCAGTCGCAAGGGTTCTTTGGGGACAGCTGTCGTTGCGGGTCCCCGCGCCCTTGTAGGATAGAATCAGCTCCTCCCTGACGCGGTTACCGAGCAACGGACGAGCAGCCAAGGCGCAGGCGCATCAGACGAAGCTCCCACCCCACCCCACCCCCCCGCCCCAACTCGGGCTTGGAGGAGGCGGGTCTGGGTGCTCAGGGATCCTTGGGCTCCACGAAGCCCCGCCCCCTCAAGAATAATACGTCTACTGGCCGCGCGTATTCGGAGGTTCTGCATGTGGGAGGGGCCAGGACTCTCAAGCGCCGCCTCCTCATGAATAATGCAGGATCCGGGCGGTGTCCCGGACCCGGAAGTGGAGTTGCCGAGTCACCGCAGTGGCTGAGCTGCTGACAGGAGGCGGCGGCGGCGGCGGCGGAGGAGGAGGAGGCGAGGCAAGACCTTCGGGCTTCGCCCGGACACTGCCACTGTATCGCTGAGGCAAAACCCACGGAGCCAAACCGGCCTCAGCCCGCCCGCGTACCTCTCGCCTTCTGTCCACCCTTCCATCCACCTGTCCGCCCGACTGGTCCAGGGCGGCCTAGTCTGCACCACCTGCCGGGCTCCTGGGGCCGCCGCCCCGCGCGGTCCAGTCGGCGTCCCCCGGCCGCGCCCGGCTCCTGGCCCGCTCGCCCGCCGGCACCATGATGGAGGAGATCGACCGGTTCCAGGTGCCCACCGCGCACTCGGAGATGCAGCCGCTGGTGAGGGGGCGGGCGGCGGGCAGGCCAGGGCCGGGAGGGGGGCTCCGCCTGAGGGGGAAGGGAAGGAATTAGGCCGTGGAGATTGTGCGAGGGGAATCCTTCGGATGGGGGCAAAGAAAGCCCTGAAAACGCATTGCTGGGGAAGGGAGACATGCCGGGCAAGAAACCCGTGGGGTACGGAAAGGAGACCTGAAAGCACGGAGGGCACCGTTGGCGGAGGGCAGAACACAGTCGGAGGAGGTGGAGAGGGGCACAATGGTGCACACCTCTAGTGGAGGCCCCGTGAGGGGGGTGATGAGGGAACTGCCACGGGACGCCGTCCGCAGCAGGCCCGGAGGGGTTGGGATGAGAGTTGGGGAGGCTTTTAGCCCGAGAGGCCTGTGATGCTCAGGGCGGGGGAAGGGTCCGGGGGAGCCGCCAGGCCTAGAATGACTGGGGTGGTGGGGGAGTAGGCCTTTAGAAGAGGACGGACCTGCGCACCAATCCGCTGGGAAAAGGTAGGAGCTGGTGCCGGGGACCGGTCCGGGAAGCGGGGAGGGTCTGTGCAGGACCTGGAAATCCCGTTCTTCTCCGGAGGGAAGCGCAGGGCAGTTCAGGCTGCGGGTATCAGAACCGGAAAGGAGAGTTTGTAGCCATAAGATGGAGAATCAAGGATGCGGATGAGAGCGCGCCTGGGTACCGACGGGAAAGGAGATGAGGCTGTGCTGGATGGAGTGGAGCGGCCTGGGCCCACCGATTCCGAAGAGCTACTGTCATTCTAGGCCCTGCGTGCTTGGAGTCTTTGCTGGGCGCGGAGCCTGTCTCCTGTCCGCGGTCCTGGAGTCAGGCAGCAATGATGTCATCGCTGCTGGCGCCGAGGGGATGGAAGGAGAGGCGATTGGGGAGGGCGGAGGGTCGCAGATGGTCAACAGGGTTTTATGGAGGCCAGGCCTAAAGGAGACCATGCTCACTGGCCATTGCCTTGAGGGCTACCTGAGTGGCTTGTCTGTCCTGTTAGTGTAGGAAGCACAGAGGCCTAGTCTCCTGGTTTAGAGAGAGGAGGGAAAGGGAGAGAGAGTTCTCAGGCCTAGGACCTGGAAGGAGGCAAGACAGGCCAAGAAAATGAAGGCGTGGGTGCCCCGTTCTTTAAGCTAGCCTGCGCTCTCCAAGTCCTGAAGCTCCCTAAGTCCTCCTCCTCTGCACCAGGCAGGGGAGCCATGAACAGGTTCCGCCCTTGGGTGGGCAGCCTTCTGACAGATGGGCCTCCTGGTTTCCTAGACAAGTAATCTGCACAATACAGTAGTGAAGACGGCTATGTGGGGATCCAGGACCACCCCTGTGCCACACCTTTTGCCAGTTGGTAGAGACAATGATTAGTGGCCACCTAGCTGGAGATAAGTGGTTTTTCTGCCTTTTTTGAAGTCAAAACAGAAATTTTACAGATGTGTTCAATATTAAACCAAGTCCAAAAGGACTTTTTTCTAGCCTGATGCCACTACAGGATTATTTAGGAGCTTGAAAATCCTAGAGAGAAGTTCGTCCTGTGAATTTAAAGAAGCATTTTGGGCTGGCTTAGGAGAACTTTCCTTAATAAGTTCCCTATGCAGCCAACCTTGCTTGTCAAACTAAATTTCCCTTCCCATCTCAAACTTCTAATCAAGAAGCAAAAGGGAAGAGAAATGAAAGAGGTATTTGTTTAAGTCAGAAGGAAGAAATGAGTTGGTGATTATCTCCCATTTGAAGGTCCCATGAGGGATGTAGTAGCTGTCCAAGGAAGGGGAAGGAATTGGACTCCTTGTTCAGTATCTCCAGTTGTCTTTATTAAAAATATTTTGCCAGTACTGGGGTCTCTAAATTGTTATGCAGGTACTCTACCATGCAAGCCATACCCCAAACCCCTATTACTTTTAATATTTTTCAGATAGAATCTTGCTTTTTCCCCAGGCTGGCCTTATACCTTGATCCTTCTATATCTATGGTTCCTATGTAGTTGGGATTACATATGTGCACTATTATGCCCAGCTTACTTGTTGAGATGTGATATTTGGTGAGATGTTGGTTGGTCTTGAACATTTAAAAAATCCTCCGAATCTCTGCCTTCCAAATAGCTGGTATTATAGGCATGTACCACCATGCTCAACAACTGCCTGATAATCTTGCCAGTGGTTTATTTGGATAGAAGACTCCTGAGCTGTTGCTGTGCTGTGTATCCTTGAAGTGTTTATAGCAAGGAAGTTCTTATTAGAATAGCTATAGCTGCCTATAGACCCTTTTTTAAAACGTAAGGTAGCCTTGTCTGCAAGAGAATACTTTGTTGAAGTTGAGTGTGCCTTAAAGAAATAGTAATATAGTCACACACACACACACACACACACACACACACACATTCTCTTCCATTTGGGACTCATAGATTATTCTGCTTTTTGACCTCTTTCCCAGGTTGTAGTCTAGAGATACCCCAAAACTCTTTGCTTGCCCTCTATTTTATTGAGATCCAAAGTTGTTGTTGTTGTTTTTTTGTCAGTCATGGGGCTTGAACTCTGGGCCTGGGCACTGTCCCTCAGCTCTTCAGCTCAAGGATAGTGCTCTACCACTTGATCCACAGCACCATTTCCAGTTTATTGGAGATGATAGTCTCATGGACTTTCCTGCCCAGGCTGGCTTTGAACTGATTTCCTCAGATCTCAGCCTCCTGAGTAGCTGGGATTACAGGTGTGAGCCACCAGCGCCCAGCTTCTCAGGGGTCTTAATTTGAGTCATAGGGAATTAAAATGCAGACCATAGAAGTAAAAGGTTGGAAAGAGTATAAAATAGCTCTGTAGAGGTATCTGGGTAGATAATAAAGAATCAGCTGTGAATGTTTCATTTTTTTGTTATTATTTGTAGAGACCTCTAGGAAGTCTCTCCTCTTCTCCCTGGACCATTTTTCCATTTATGAAATGAAGACACTATCAACTTAAAGTTTAAGCAGTTGCTCCTCACTCTCCCTTCCAAAGAATATAATATTGATTCAGGAAATAGATTTACCAAATAATTATTGAGCATCTACTCTATTCCAGATACAGATACTACACTACTGTCAGGGGCATAGTGGTTAGCAATGCAGACACAGATGTGGCTCTGACTTCCAGGAACTTGCAGCTTGGTAAAAGTTTATTTTCTCTGAGTGAATCCTGCTGAGAGCAGAGTGGGCCTGCCTCCTGACGGCCATGGAAAGAAGACAGTGATCATGTCACATCCTCACCACTTTTGAACCTAGATGTATTTATAGAGCCTATTTCTTGGGCTTTATCATCAAATAACCCTCTTATATAGTGGTGGGAAGAATCTAGAGGTTGTCCCTTACTTGGAAAGATGAGCTTTAGGGAGATATTTTTTTTTTCTTTTTTTACTTGAAAGAAACTTAGCTTGAAAAGGAAGCCTGGGGGAGTGGCAGGAGCTGAGCTAGAAGGTGCAGCCAGCAGATCTGGGTGTTTCCAAGGTGCTAATTTAAGCATTAGCTCTCAGCTAGTGGGAGGAAGAGGAGGAGATCCCTGCCATGTTGCTGCTGCTGTGGCCACAGCTGCATGAAGCATCCTGCCTGCGTTGGGAGTTTGCCTGAAAGGAGTGACTTCCCTTCTTTCCCCATCCACACCAATTATTTAATTGGCCTGGCTGCATCTCAGCTGCTGAACCAGTCCTGGGCCTAACCCTGAGCTCCCTAGGGTTTCTTCCTGTCTCGTTGTAAAAGAAATGAGAGCTTTCTTGGTGACCTATTCCCTGGGCTCCACTCCTGCTGTGTCTGCCTCCTAGGCAATTCTGAGTGTAACAGAGCACAGAGTCTCTCCCAAGACACTTTGCAATGACCCACTTCGCATGTCATCTCTGTGAGCCATAGAGCTCATTGTTGAGCAACTATATTGAATGTGTTTGTATAGTAACATGCACAGATTCTCTAGCTTTGTTGTCTATCTGTTGAGATGGTTGGTGCAGCCACACAGACTATATCTTCTCTTTGGCTGCAATTGGAAAGGAAGAGATTTGTTGCAAGAAAAACAAATAGAGCTTTTAAGCACTTAATTGTGTCAGGCAACACCCTGCTTGCCTGTGAGCTCACAGGCTAAAGATACTTAAAGAGTGGCATATGGCAACAGACGGGATCTCTGCACGGTTGGGAGAAAAACTAGTCTGGTCTCGCTGAAACCAGATTATCCATTTACTCATTTGTTTAGTTTATGTGTATTTGCTGTATGTGTACTCCACTCCAGGTAATTCAAGGATAAAGAGACAATGCAATGAGATCTCTTCAGTGGATAGACAGAGGACTGGATGAAAGGATGGGCTCAAGATGACAGGAATTCATTTAGATACTTGTCAGAAACAGTAGCAATCAATAGAAATGTTCCTGAGAAAGAATTACACCTAAGGATAAAGTGGATTACAGGAACTGAAAGAGGGGTGTGAGACACCTACAGCCTTCTGACACTGAGAGATGGGGATGATGAATACATTAATTCAGAGCTTACACCTGTAACTCCAGCTACTTAGGAAGTAGAGGTAGAACTATCCCAGCCTGAGCAAAAAGTTAGCAGACAATTAAAAAAAAAAAGAAGGTAGGCACAGTGCTTCAGATCTAGTCTAAGATAGGGGTCTGAGGCTAGCCCTAGGCAAAAGAATAGGAATCATGAGACCCTATCTGAAAAATAACTAAGAGCAAAAGGGACTGGAGTTGCGGCTCAAGCAGTTGAGCACTTGCCTAGCATACTAGAAACCTTGAGTTAAAAATCCTAGAGGAAGGAAGGAAGGAAGGAAGGAAGGAAGGAAGGAAGGAAGGAAGGAAGGAAGGAAGGAAGGAAGGAAGGAAGGAAGGAAGGAAGGAAGGAAGGAAAGGAAGGAAGGAAGGAAGGAAGGAAGGAAGGAAGGAAGGAAATTAAGTGATTGGACCATAGTGGACACTAATAGTCACTGTGGAAAATTGACCTACATGCATTCTATGGTCTGGACACCTTTAAACTTTTCCTATAGTCAGATGACTTCAGTTT